CAATGTTCTAAGAACAAAAATAAGGTTCTTAGAACATAGTTTATACCGATGTGTTCAAACAAGCCAGTCCCAGCCATACATGTTCTAAGAACATTTCGTATAATCCACAAAAGGTTCTTAGAACTTTGTTTGGTAGGCCTATAGGCGAGCCAAGACGCTTCGCCACTGTTTGAGAGACAGGGTGTGCGCGCTCGCGACACATCTGACAGCAGACCCCAGCCACCCACCCATCTCTTACAAGTTGCGCCGAATCTATGTTTACACCCGCTGGCTTGTGTGTCTCAGAGGACATCCGTACCCCTTTGACCCAATCGTGCAAGGCGCAATCAGAAGAAGGAGCGCTTGTACATTGGAAGAGGAGGAGGAGGAGGAGGAGGAGGAGGAGGACAAGGAGGCGGATGAGCAGGATGATGAGTGAGAGGGAGACGAGGACGACGAGGAAGGGGGGGGGAGCGGGAAGAGCAGCAAGACCAGGTGAACCCGGGGGAAGGAAAAAGGAGAGGGGCGGCAACGACGAGACGTGAATCATCTCCAGAAGTGTGGCCCGCGCTGGGGCGAGAGAGCCGGTCTGAGCGACGGGGGCAGGCGCCGATCCACAGAAATGCGGCCAGGGCTGCAGCGGAAGCACCTCTGTTCTGAGGGGCCAGAACCGTTCTGTGCGCTCCTATCCAGAAGTGTGGCCCGCGCTGTGGCGAGAGAGCCAGTCTGAGCGACGGGGGCAGGCGCCGATCCAGACATGCGGCCGGGGCTGCCGCGGAAGCACCTCTGTTCTGAGGGGCCGGGACCGTTCTGTGCGCTCGCGCTCTCTTCGGCAGTAGTCGCTTCCATGGTCCCCCTGGAGCGATGTCTTACCGGGGCGATATGCCGACGCCAATCACCGACCCTGCGACTGGACAACCACAAACTGCCAAACCCGGGGATATACGGCGGGGGGGCGCCCATCCTCCACAGGGATCCGTCTGGCCAGCCCCCCTGGGGGGCATCCCCAAGATTAACTCCTTCTCGGAGCGGCCTGACTTCCGGGGCGGGGAGGAGTCGCCTGCGATATCTGGAGCCCCGGCCCCCCGTGGCAATTCATGGGAATCTCCCGTATCATCTAGCTGGCTCTTGCGAATCGGCGCTAACGGATGCTCATCGACCATACATCGACGCTGCTCGACGCTAGTCGACGCCAAATCGCCGCTATCCCATCGATGACCAGACGCCTATCGACGCTGGTGCACTCTCGAGCCCGAGAGTGCAAGGACACGCGCGGCTCGCATGGCTTGCTTAAGAGGCCTCCCAGATAGGGTCCGAGCAGATGGGGTCGGATGATCTCGCGGATACGTCGGCGATGCGCTGGCGAAGTCGGCGGTGCATCGGCGACGTCGGCGTGGAAAAAATAGGGCCCCACATCGCCGATGCATCGCCGATGCATCGGCGATGCATATCGGCTATGCGGAGCGATCCTTCAACCCCATCTACTCCGACCCCATCTAGGAGGCCTAGATTGCTACCGAACGAACTGCAGCCCGGCCCCCTCGGGCGTCGGCAGAACTGGGTCTAATGGGACCTGGTTTAGTGATGTGTACTGGCCCCCCCCCGCCCCGTTCCACTAATCGGAACCGCCGTCACCCCCCCCAACAAAAAGAACGCCAGCTACGGCAGACCTGGTTTAGTGATCCTGGCCAATCTAGTCGGGGGCGGCAAAGAGGGGGGTGTCCAAGAGGGGGGGGTGCAAATCATGACCGGCGGCATGTGCGCGACCCAGCGGGGGGGCCAGGGACGTAATGAAATAAGAAGAGGCACCATGAAATCTGGGGAAATATCATGGCCCACGCCATGATATCCACCCCCCCCTAGTCATCACCCCCCTCTTTTCCGCCCCCGATCTAAGGGTTGTGGGGCCCTGCAACTAGCCGGGCCCTCTCACCCGGGGTCCCACCCGGCCCCCCGCTGCCGCGGAGCCGAGCTGTACGCCGCGGCGCTGGGCTGCGCGGTGGCCGGCTCGCGCTCGGACCGCCGCGCGGAGCCGGGCGGGCTGCCGGGGCGCTGGGGGCGGCGGGCAGATTCCCGGCGCCCGCGCGAGAGGCCCTGCTGCTGCTCTCCTCGTCCTCGTCCTCGTCCTCGTCCTCGTCCTCGTCCTCGTCCTCGTCCTCGTCCTTGTCCTCGTCCGCCTCCTCCTCCTCCTCCTCCTCCTCCTCCTCCTCCTCCTCCTCCTCCTCCTCCTCCTCTTCCTCCTGCCACATTTTTCCTCATCCTTCTATTCCTGCTTCTGCTCCTCCTCCTCCCCTCCTAGGCGTGGCGCCTAGGAGGGGAGGAGGAGAACCTCCCTACGCCTACGCCTCCTCCTCCTCCTCGTCTTCATTCCTCCTCTCTCTCTCTATCGCCCGCCTCCTCTGTGCGCCTTCTCTCTCCTCGTCCTTTCTCCCTCTCCTCGAGCCTCCTCCTCTAACCAAGGCCACGCTAACGGCGCTGTTGCTTCACGGCGATGTTGGAAACCGAACTGTAGGAAATCACGAACCACACTTTCCTACATGTCCGATCTGCGGATGTATCGAACGAAAACGACAGCGCATTGTAGGAAAGCACGAGCCGCGAGTTCCTACAAAACCAAAACCTACGTCGCCGTTATCTGCATCGCCGTTAGCCCGTCTACGGTTTAACGCTGGCGTCACAGATCTCGGAGGGTCCCCAGGTTCCCATTCTGCGAGGTGCTTTACCCGCACGACGTTCTTTTCGTCTGGCAGGCACCTGCGGGCGGATTGGCCCGACCTGACGCATGCTATGGGCGCGAGCTCGCTGCAGTCCCAAAGTCTCCTCGAGCCCCCCTCCCTCGCCACAGCGCGGCGCACGCTCGTTTGTTGACAGTTGCAACACTTGCACGGGTGGAGGAATAGTGATTTTCAAAATGTGACTCTCGCCTTATCGCCGCGAGCATTCGGTTTAAAAACTGGTAACCGTTGCAAGGATCCACAGGTGGGGGGGCCTTGTCAAAATGGGGCACTCGCTTTGACGCTGCGTATATTCGTAATAGCAGTTCGAGCAGTTACGGGAATGGGGGATGGCTCCTTTTCGAAATGGGGCTATTGCTTGATACAGTAGGAGTTCGACCACAATAATGCTTCGACAAGAAACCCGACCTTGAGACCCCAGGATGTCCCTTCATTCTTGGTGTGGGAGCGTCACTCTGTCTACAGCAAGACCACCGAAATCCAAGAGATCCAGGGCACCCTGGAAGCAAGCAGTGTGCTTCGTGGCACGAGTTTCCGCTGCACTTCCTGATCTCGAAGACCAGATTCTTGAACACATGTCACGGCTGCGCGGGTGGAGGCTGGCTCCGCTCCTCTTCCAAATGGGGGCTCTCGCCGAATACTTCCTCGAAGGTGAAAGGACTCGATGACTTCTGGAGAACTTCATCGAAGTTCGTGGACAGAGCTGCAACCTTAAGCAACACTTGCACAGATAGGGGGCGGCTCTTTGCCTGAACGGGGGTCTCGCTGGGTAGCTCGCTGAGCTATATAGGCAAACCTGTTCGCGTTCCTCCCCACTCGCTCGAAGGATGCAGGGCGACTCCCTTTTTAAGACGGGGCTCTCGCCGAAATGGCAGGCCCATGGATGGTGCCGGTCTTTCTCGAAGGTGCAGACACGCGTGTACGTTTTCTGTGAGAAGGGGACCTGGGAGGGGAGGGTGTATTGAGACATCGGTGGCGCGTCTTGGGTTTACTCTGGTCCTGCTCCCCTTCCTCCTCCTCCTCCTCCTCCTCCTCCTTCTTCTTCTTTTTCTTATTATTCTTCTCCTCCTCCTCCTCCTCCTCCTCCTCCTCCTCCTCCTCCTCCTCCTCCCCTCCTCCCTCCCCTCCTCCCTCCTCCCTCCTCCCTCCTCCTCCTCCTCCCTCCTCCTCCTGCTCCCACCCTTCCTCTGTGTCCTCCTGATCCTCCTCGTCCTCATCATCCTACCTCGTAAGATGTTCCTCCTCATTATCCTCCTCCATTTGATCGTTCTCCTCCTCCTCCTCCTCCTCCGCTTTCCCGTCCCTCTCCTCCGTCATGTCCCCTTCCTCATTCCTCCTCTTCCTCCTCCTCCTCATCCTGCTCCCATCCTTCCACCGTGTCCTCCTGATCCGCCTCGTCCTCCTCATCCTACCTCGTACTATACTAAACCTCATTATCCTCTTCCGTTTCCTCGTTCTCCTCCTCCTCCTCCTCCTCCTCCTCCTCCTCCTCCTCTTCCTCCTTCCCGTCTCCCTCATCCCTCCTCCTCGTCCTGAAACTCCTCGTGCTCCTCGTCGTCCTGATGCTCCCCGTTTTCCGCATTCAGCTCATCGCGTCGTCCTCCTCCTCCTCTTCCTCCTCCTCCTCCTCCTCCTCCTCCTCCTCCTCCTCCTCCCGCAAGACCGATGCGCCCCTGCGCGCGGGCGCTGGGACTCCGCCCGCCAGCCGACGGGGGGCCGCCTCCCCGCGGGAGACTGGCAGGCAGGGCTCAGGCTGCCCTTGCCGGGGGCCTCGGGCGCGGCCGCCGCTCTGGGCTGTTCCACGACAGGTTCGAGGAGGAGAGGCGAGGGCGGCCAAGAGGGGGGCGTCCAAGAGGGGTGTGTGCTAATCATGGCCGGCGGCACGTGCGCGGTCCAGGGGAAAGTCCTCACTGGTAAGGCCTGCGATGGTCTTCAACAGGGGGGGAGAAAACTACCAGAAAAAGGGTTGACTAAAAATATTACCACTGCCCCGACCCATGCACGAGAAAACCCACTATCAACAGGAGCGGGGGTTCTACAGGCGGGGATTCACGCCGCACTCGCCGCAACCTCGCGGCGTCACGCTCCCGTAGAACGTCTCGCTCCTAGCCCCCCTGGAAAGGCCTTCAAGGGGCGGCACGAAACCCACTGACGCACCCCCCCGTATCCGTGTTGCTGCGCCCACTCGTATTGTTGTTCCCAATCGTGGTCGTCGTCGCCGAAAACGTCCTCTGGTGACGTCTTCGTGGGGATTTGCTCCCTCGGCCCCTGTGATGATGGGAGTTG